CAAGTATTGAGTGCATAACTGAACATGATTATTTGAAGGTTGGCGTTTTTTGTATTAAAAACACTTGTCTTTCATTGGTGGGATGAAATATGCTAATTTTTTGGGACAGGCATTTTGGGTTTTCATGAGCTGTATGCCATAATCATCAGTATTAAAACAATTAAAGACCTGAAATATTTCAGTTGGTGTGCAATGAATCTGAAATATATGAAAGTTTCCTTTTTATCATTACATTATGGAAAATAATGACCTTTATCACAATATGCAAATTTTTTGAGAAGGACCTGTAAATACAAAAAAAAAAATAAAATCCACAAACACTAGCCCAGTGTAGAGTGCCCCACACTGGGCGCCAATTTAAAAAAAGTATAAACTCACAAATCAGAGTTTGATCTTAAAGACCATCAAATTTTTGAAAAGGAATAAAATATGATGGAGGTTAATAATGTCATATCTTAACTCTAACTGCAAATTCCAAATAATAAAAAATAAAAATTATATAGCTGCGCAAGAATATTACTTTCATTTGTATGTTATATCTCTTTTAACATTTTTAAACAATGTCAAGTCTGAGCATCACAACATTTTACATAGCAATTTCAGTTTATTCTTAAAAAGACAAAGTTTGGACAAAGCCTGTCCAATGTGTCAGTGTCTTCAGCATGTGCTGTCTGATCTCAGTGGTTCTGATTCCATAGATGATTGGGTTAAAACAACTGGGGAACAGCAGGTACATGGTGCTGAAGAAAACCCGAACCGCTGTAGGGAGGCCGTTTCTAATCCGATATGAAAGAAAAGCAATCAGCACTACGGCCAAACTGAGAGTTATCACAATCGCATGTGTGACGCAGGTGTGAAGTGCTTTGGGGCCGGAGCTGCTGGACTTCAACACAGAGCTGAATATCGCAATATAAGAGGCAGCAATAAACAAAAAGTCCAAAACAGGGATGAAGAACAGAGCCATCAGTCCTGCTAGATTGTTAATGGTGGTGCTTCCACAGGCCAGCTCCACCAAGGCCATGTGCTCACAGAAACAATGGTTTATTATATTTGTGCAAAATGAGAGTTTTCCTGCCAAACTCACAAACAGAGTGATGAGAAGCATATTTCTGACAGCAAGAGGGATTATAAACTTCAGAAATCTCTGCAGAGCCATGAGTTCATGGTAGTACAGAGGTGTGCAGATGGCAAAGTAGCGATCCAGAGACATCCATACTAAAAATGTGGACTGAAAAGCTCCAAAGAAGTGAATGAAGTGCATCTGAATCAGACAGCCAATCAGAGAGATCCCCTTCCAGTCAAACAGGAAGCTGAGCAGCATGTTGGGGACAAAGAATACTGGGAGGCAGAGTTCAACGCAGGCCATGCCAGCGATGAGGATGCTCATTGGTTGATGAAGGCTTCTGTGTGAAAAGACAACGTACACCAGCAGGGAGTTGGCCACCAGCGCCACGATGAACATGAGGAAGAACGGGATGAAGAGGACGGGCCTCAGTGCTCCGAGTTCTTCAAAGCCAGTGAAAATAAAATGTTTGTGTGAAGAGATGTTCTCCATCCTGCCTTCGGTCTACAACTGGCTCATCCACTGTTTGAAAGCAGGCAGCCTGAAAACAGACACAATACAATAAAAAATGTTCCTTTGTGTATTTAAGTAACGTTGGTAAATCAGATTTGGTAAAGAAACACTTGTTCTTCAGCACAAGACTGTAGAAATATCACTGAGGAAGAAGAAAAATCCCAACGGATGTTTTATGTCATTGTTTGGATAAATGAGTAAAATGTGTTAGTTTCAGATAGAGTCCAACACGTTTGAACAGAACGGACACAGTGAAGTCTCCTGACAGAAAAAAAAAAACAGTTGGTTGAACTGACGATACTTAAATTCAACCTCAACTGAGCATCAGAACAAGTTACACAGTTTTGTTTATTTTATTGTACAAAAACTAACATTTGGTAGAAACAGCACATCAGCACAAACAGCTCCTCCCAGCTGTCAACATGGTGGTGGAGGGCTCATGGTTTGGGCTCCTTCAGTCAATAAGTCCACCAGGAGCTCCTCTGTAGACCGAAGGGTTCTGGAGTCCAACAGCTGAAGCTTGGACCAAATTGCGTCCAACAGGACAATGATCTCAAACACAGCAACTGATCTACAACAGAAAGAGTCATAAAGAGAAGAACCAAGGGGCTGTACTGGTCCAGACAGATCTGACTAAACTGCTGTGGTGGACGTTCAGAGATTTGAGCAGAAACCTCAATGAACTGAAGCAACGATGTAAAGAAGAGCAGGTCAAAACTCCTCCACAACCATGAGAGAGAATGATACAGAAAACACTGAAGGTCCTGCTGCTGAAGGAGGTTCTGTTGGGTCTGTTTGGATCTGTTTGTTGGGTCTGGAAGTATTTTTCAATGGTAGATTCTAGATTTTGTTTTAGTTTGTGTACATAAATATTACAGGTAGTGGTGTAATCGGTTGTGTGTCTCTGTTAAACATGACATATGTACAGGACTGACATGAGATTTTTCATAAACATAAAAAGAACGTTTCTTTAAATTTAACAAAAATGTAAAAAATCTCTTGATTATTACAGGACCTGTGGTTTAGCAACATGATAAATAAATTTACATGTTAAAGATATGTACAGAAAACATGGCAGCTGAGAATACTTTTTTAATATTTAATGAATTTCTGGCATTAGGCTGAATAAAAACATTTAAAGCAGCTCTCAAACAAATAAAAACATTTAAAG